ATTTTCATTAATTACTCACCCTCATGTTGTTCCAAACCCGTAAGACCCCCGTTCATCTTCGGAACACAATTTAAGATATATTTGATGGAATCTGAGGGCTCTCTGACCCTCCCATAGACAGCAAGGTAACTACCACGTTCAAGGTCCAGAAACGTAGCAAGTACATCAGTAAAATAATCCATGTGACATCAGGGGTTGAACTGTAATTTTACAAAGCTACGAGAATACTTTTTGTGCGCAAAAGAAAAAAAGTATCCACTGAACGTAAATTGCGTATGCTGTTTTGTGTCAGCTGCGATGTCCTTGCTACATTTCTGGACCTTGATCGTGGTAGTTACCTTGCTGTCTATGGGAGGGTCAGAGAGCTCTCAGATTCCATCAAAAATATCTTAATTTGTGTTCCGAAGATGAACGAAGGTCTTACCGGTTTGGAACAACATGAGGGTGAGTAATTAATGACAGAATTTTCATTTTTGGGTGAACTATCCCTTTAAGAAATAATAACGATGAAGACAACTAAACAAAATACCTACATTAAGAAATAATGATGAACAAAGACAACAAAAGAAAAAACGGACATAAATAAAAGGAAAGGGGGTGTTAAATACATTACAACCTGGAAATAATTTTGAGAATTACATGCCATTAAAGACAGGAAAAGAATTTCAAACAGATCATGTTTTTAAAGTTTTTTTGTTTGTTGTTGTTTTTTTGTTCTCAGTTTGATCAATGAGAGTTATTGCTCAAATTCTTTTATAAAAAAACAATAAAGAGAGGTCTGGAAGCTGAAAATTTGGATCTGTGAATGTGAAACTTTGCCAGCAGCAAAATCAAATTAACAAATCTATCTATAGATATAGATAGATGATCTTCCGGTCATTGCGAGTCAACTTCCTGTGGAGTGTGGCGAATTCAACTCACTGAAAAGAAGCCAATTCTTAATTTCTCAATTCTATCCAATCCGGTTACTTGTAAGTTAAATAATGCTTTGTCCTAATCATCTTTTTCGTCCATTCATCCGTTCATTTTTCAGGGATTATGTTATTTAGTGAATATTCAAAGGATACAACATTGGTGTTTTTACCTACAAGAAAAAAAAAAACAGAATAACACTTGACATCCTAAATAAAACAACCTAAAAGAATCCAAATAGGCCCACTGCGGACATATGAATGAAATATGTTGCGCAATGGCTTGAAGTGAATGAAATAACATAATATATCTTGCTCTTTCATAGAGTTTCGTATTAAAAAATAACATTCCGCTTTTCCATACAGCACAGGAACGTTTAAAGGCAAATAACGCTATTAAACCACATAAATAACGGTGAAATATTTCAAAGCGTTGAATACATAATAGAGAAACATAAAGTATATTATCATTAAAACTACGTTTATTTTCGATGATAACTTTAGTATCTATGGCAACGACGCGGGTTACCTGCCTGTCCAATCGCCATCTTGATTCGGTCCCTCAGGGTTGCCAGGTTTTCACAACAAAACTAGCCTTCTTCTTCTTCTTTGAGGTTTAACGGCGGCTTGCATCCAAGAGCGTTGCATTACCGCCATCTTCTGGATTATTCTCCTGCGATGTTATTCCAGTTTATTTCCTCCAGCTTGTTTTCCACAATCATATTTTCCTCATCAAACCCGTCCTAATTAAGAAATTACAAATATTTTTTCCTGCTTTGTCTAATCACCCCACTTTGCAGTATATCTTTAATACCTGTCCATACCAACCCATCTCTTCTTAATTCTTCCATCATATTTCTCCTCTGATCTTCATAACTTCTGCAACTTAAAAGAACATGTTCTATGGTTTCTAATGTCTGACAATATTCACAAAAACCAGTAGGATGCTTCCCTATAATGTGTAATGTACTATTTAAATTACTGTGTCCTATTCTTAATCTTGTCATCACTATTTCTTCTCTCCTAGTCCCTCCCCAATTCCTCTCTGTACCAACTTTATTTTGAATGGCATACAAATGTCTTCCTTTAGCTTCCCTGTCCCACTGACGTTGCCATTCTCTCATGGCTTCTTTCCAAACTATAACAAAACAAGCCCAATTCCGCGGGAAAACCGCGGACTTGGCAACACTGCCCGGTTCGGCCGGTCGAAGGACTCTCGCGCCCCCTAGTGAACGGGAGTGACCAGAATGCAATACAATATTTTAATAGACGTTTAACACAAAATACATTAATACTATATTATACAGAATAACAATACTTAAATATAACAAGAAAGCAAAGCTATAAAAGTGTAAGAAATTTGAGAAAGTTTTGAAATCAAAATTCATCAAACATTTTGGATTTTGGTGTATACGTTTGTTGGGATTAAATTGGCTCAGTAACAGTAAAAGTTTCTCTTTTGTACTCTTTAGATTTATTAATGTTACACTGCCAAATAGAACATATATTTTTTTTTAATTATTCTAAAAATGAATGTCATGTTCCAATTTTCCACAGTTTTGTTTATTTGTATTTTTAAAATTATTTCAAAAGGCACTGCATGGCTCCAGGTTGGAGAATGTTTTTAATCAATATAAGTGATCTAATACTTTATGCGCATATGAATATGCCAATTAATCAGGCTCATATGGTATAAAGTAAATTATAAATCAATTATTATGAAGATTAATTGAGGTAGCAAACAGGATGCAGAATTGCAAATCAAATTTCAGTGTGAGGATATAAAATTAATATTAACTGAAATTAAAAGTAAATAGTTTTTTCTGTAATTTCTAACTAGAAAAACAAAGTTTGTGAAGACAGACTTTGAATATTGGCATGACAAAAACTTTGTTTGAAGGTTTTAAAATGAATTTAAAAGGCTAATCCGTACAAATTTTGATTTTTGATTTTCAATTAAATTTAAAATTTTCATAAATTAATTCTCAGATTTGCATTGTTTGATACATGCAACTAAACATAAAATTCTTAATCATGTACATATGGAAACATTTGGTTTTAAAAATATCTGCAACCAGTAATCACACACACACAAATAACCACATGTACATTTACTGTATGTATGTAACACAAACACACACACACACACTTCATAATTTACTGGAATGGATGATAAGACATTAGTCAGAATGTAGACACACCTGCTGAGAGAGAGAGAGAGGAAATTCGAAGGCTTTTTTGTGAAATATAATCTGAAAATGTTTTAGAGGGTAATGGGTTGGGGTCTTATTTTGCTAACAACTTATTTTAGCAGTAAAAAAGCACAGGGCAAGGTCTAAATTGCTACAAACCACAGTGTCTGTCATCATTTGGTTATAGATTAGCTTTATTGAATGACATGGTCTCAATGACTTTAGTCAACAATAGCCATATACAGCCGGAGTAAGACATGCTGTAACTTCACACACACACACACACACACACACATTCATTGTGGATGGTCACATGTGTGCGGCCACACAGCTACGCTCACATTTAGACGAAGTGCATTAACACAGCCAGATGTTTCTTTGTCTCTGCAGCCTCAAGCTCTCTTTTTCTCGCCTGCGTCCTCCCAAACAATCCACACAGTGTGTCGTGGGAAGAACGGACGTGTTGTTCAGGTCAAACAGAGGAAAAAGGAGAGCGAGAGAAAGAGCGAGAGAGAGAGAAAGATGCTCCAGCTGTGAGTAAAAACAACAAAACTGTGTTTGATTGGGAGGGGGGTCGGATGGACACAG